CTAATATAATTATGTTATTGTAAAAAACTAAAAAGTGTTCAGTGTTTGAAAAAAGAGTGATTTAAAATGAAATTATGAGATATTAGGTAAAATTGCATACAGTTTCTCTTAATTCTCTCTCTGTCTCTTCTCTCTCTTTCTCTATCTATCTATAACCTTCTCTCTCTCTATCTATCTATAACCTTCTCTCTCTCTATCTATCTATCTATATATATATATATATATATATATATATATATATATATATTATATATTTCCTATCTCTCTATGTCTTTCACTTTTTCTATGTATCTATGTATCTATACACCCACATATACAGACACATATACATACATACACATACATACACACATATATATATATATATATATATATATATATATATATATATATATATATATATATATCACATGTGAATGTATGCATGAGGTTGCAGAGATTTTGTTAAAAGAAATTCAGGTTTAATAAGGTAAATCTTCAATTTTACATTCAATTCAAGAACGCTTTGTAATATCCTCAACAAAATACGGATGTCTAATCATTTCGAACAGCATAAATAAAAAATTCATTTCAGTTTTAATAAAAGGGGAAATTTATAATTCTTCCTTTTTTTTTCCACGTTCTTGGCATACAATATTCATGGAACGTTAATAAAAAAAGAAAACAGATTTAGAAAGCTAAACTCTAAAATTAAAAACAGGCATTCGGAGAAAACGGAAATATTTTATTTCTTTTTAAGCCGCTGTCATAAAGTCATCAAATATTAAGAATTATATTACGGAAAAATTACATACGTCAATTATATACGAATAAGCAAGTCATAGAAACTGAGAGAATATGTTGTAATTTTCCGCAGGAAAAACAAAAAAAAAACAAACTTTAAAGAGTTGAATTTGTATTTTGTTATTACTATATAAATTTGTAAAAAGATACTTTAAGATGAAAAAATCTGGGTCTTTTTTAAGGTAATAAGAATGAAGAAATGGTATACAATATTTAATCTGATGGATTTTCTTTCCACAGATGGATTTGAGGTGACAGAGATGTGATAGAACAGAAAAAAAAACAAGAAAATTTCAAGTGCTGAATTTAGGCCTTATAAATTTTTAAACGTTAAATACTTGTCAGGAGATAATTGTAGGTGGTTGCAGGATTTTTTTTTAAGGATATCTAATCTCCTATATGTCACTGAGCGCTGGACAATCTCATCACTTATGAAAAAGAGACTTGAAATAAAAGAAATATGGTTCTACTGATAAATGTCCTTACAAAAAAAAACATGCAGAATGATGGACTGCTATACAACATCTAAACTCATATATGACAGTGAAGGCTGGACAATCTCCTCATGCTTTTCAGAAACTAAGCAAAGTATTAAGATATAGGAAAATATCCTTAGAAATGAAGAAAAGATTGATAGACTGCTATGTAATTTTAAATCTCTTATATGGCAATGAATGCTAGACAATCTGTTAGGAAGAAGAGACTTGAAGTAACAGAAATGTGATTCTATTGATGAATGTCCTTAGGAACAAAAGACATGGTCAAATGGCAATTGATCAGTAAAATGACCTATATTCTGTTGTTAACTGGGGTAAAAGATGGCTTGTTAATTTTAATGCCTCCAAAACAAAACTGCTGTATTTAATCATTTGAGAGAATCCCTTTAACTTCCATTACCATGAATGACGCTAACCTCCAGGAGATTGATTCATTACACATTCTCAGACTAACATTTTCCACTGACATGAAATGGAAAAATTGTATTGAATCAATTCCTAGGTTTGCTGCTAGGAAAGTTGGTTCTCTGTGTCATGTTAGACAATTTCTTTTGCCAGAATTTATCTTACATATTTATAAGCCTACCATTCATCCTTGCTTTGAATATTACTGCCACTGGTTTGGTGCTCCTGCTATACATTTAAAGATTCTTGATAAAATATAAAAAAGAATCTGTGATGTTATTAGTCCTGACCTGGCATCTTGTCTTCAGTCACTTTCCTACTGTCATAATGTAGTTCCCCTGCATCTTTTCTATAAATACTTTCATGGTAATTGTCATGATGAACTCTTTGTTTTATCCCCCCCCACAGACAATGAATTGTAAATATGGGGTCTAGTTAGTATTTTCATAGAGATGGTGAGGTATTATGGTGGATGTAGTAAGAAAGGTATGTATGAATGTGTTGTTTTGGTGTATGGAATATTGTTTGTATGATTGGGTCAGTGTTTGCGGCTAGCTAAGTTATAGTTAAGACTGAAGAAGGTCGTACTTTTTTGCCATTCCCCACTTTTGGCCATGTGCCACATTTCTGTGTATTTTATAAAATAAATATCACTTTCTTCTATGGTACCTAGACTTTATGAATTTAAGTGCAGTACTAGATTGGTGGAAGGTTCTCATCATCTTACAGTTGAAATGGCTAGATGCAACTGCAAGTTCTATGCTAACAGTTTCTTCTATTGCACTTCTTGCTTGTGGAACTATCTTCCTGTTTCTTGATTCCCAGTCAACTTTGATCTTCTATAATGCAATCTCAATTGTTATCTACTGTTTTCTCTCCTTAATAGTGTTTTTATTTTATCACCATTTGTGCTTAGTGGCTCTGATCCCTTGCTTATGATGAAATTATTAAAAAAAAAAAGAAATTCTGAGAATACCATGGACAGAACATGTGAGCAATAAGGAAGTTTTAAGGAAAATAGGTACTATAAGGAAACTGTTACAAACAATCATAGGGAGACATCTGACATAATGATGGAATGATTGGGATTTTTGACACTCAAAGGAAATAGGGAAATAGTTGGAAATTTATTCAAATAACATGGACGGTATAACAGAGACAAAAAGGGGCAGTAAAGAGTAAAAAGTTATGCTTTTATACTAATATTTACCAAATACAAAGCCCAAGAGCCACTCAAAATAGAGGGTTACTATGTAGTGTTATATGAGCTTAAGAAAAAGCAAGAAGTGATGTTCATGGCATTATGCAGGAAAGATGACGATTAACCCTAGACTTGAAGAGGTCAAGATTGTAGTGTTTGGGAAAACATCTTTCAAGGAATCTGTTCCACAAAGCAGAAATTCTTGGGGAGAAGCTGACCAAATGGAACTTCTTCTTACTAATTGAATACAAAAAGAATGAGGATAATTCACATCTGTGCATGTGGCATGGTAGGTCCCACTTGTAAAACTCAGGGCTGGTGGGACTAAGAAACTTAGCTTACCAGAACACATGCCATAGGAATAGTGACAGAGACAGCAAGAGGTTCATGATGTTTTGGAAGGGGTTTTAGGATGGAAAAGGCTGTGTAGATGCTTTTGTCTTGATAAAGACAGGCAAGTGAGGACTGGACAGCCCCTGCCCAGATATAGCAGAATTACTCCATTTTTCATCTGATCTGGCTCCTGTAAATATAAAGTATAGCAGAGGAGTCAGATAGTTACTGGAGTGGAACAAGGATCTGACAATTTTTCCAGCATCTTTAGCAATAGATTGGATATATGAGTTCCACTTGAGGTCTGGGGTGAGCTTGAATCCCAATAGACATTCAAGACAATAACCCTCCTTGAGAGAAAACTCATCCATCATGATAGTGGCAAACATTTACTTATTGAATGTGAAATTCATGGGGTAATGTAAGAAAGATATGTGTTAAACCTTGACCTGAATAGGTCAAGATTTTACTGATTAAGAAAACATCCTGTGAAGAATAAATTTCACAAAGCATTAGTATTTGGGAAGAAGCTGTCCGAATGGAATTTACTCCTTACTAATGGAATACAAAGGGAAAATGGGGATGATTCACTCTTGTATATGTGGCATCTGGGACACATAATGAAAAAGGAGGGCCTTTAGAATCGGATACTCACGGGTCAAATAGAGGGAAAAAGAGACAAGGGAAAGCAGTGCATGATATTCCTGATGGCTTGAGCAGGCGGATCACAGAATATAGTCTCGGGGAGATAGCAAAGAGAAGGAACTTGTTGAGAGCTGCAAGGGATAGAAGGAGGTGCAGAACCATGATTGCCTATGCCCTGAAAGGACATGGCACATAAAAAGGAAAAGATATGTGGCATGGCGGGTCCCAGTGTCCCAGTTGTAAAGGTCAGTGATGGTAGAACTAAGGAATGCAGCTCGTCAGAACACGTCATGGAAATAGCAATAGAGCAGCAAGAGGCTTGTGACATTTTGTCTGTGGGGAAAAGGGTTGTAGGGTGGGAAATAATTCATTATCCACAAGTTCATGCCAATACTTTTGAACTCTATCAAGACTGGCAAGTGATGACTGGGCAGCTTCAGCCCAGATATGGTAACAATACTCCAGTTTTGTTCATCTTATAAAGATAGACTTATAGCAAGAGTCATTATATACTTACTAGAGAGGTACAATGAACCAACCATTTTTCCAGCATCTTTAGCAATAGATCAGATATATGAGTTCCACTTGAGTTCCTGGGAGAGTTTGATTCCCAACAGACGTTCAAGACAATATGCCTCCTTGAGAGAATGCCCATCAATCATGATAGAAGAAAATTGTACAGTATAAAAAATGAAGTTTACAAAGTAGGGAAAATTTGTGCAAGATATAAGAGAAAGAAATGGAGAAATGAAAGACTGCCTGCAGTTATTCCCACAAATTATATTATAAAGCAAAAAGAAAAGCTGTAAAAAGCAAATAGATCTCAAAATCTAAAAGAAACTCTCCAATTTTTAGGCATTTAAGAGATATTTTTGAGTGATTGATTGATTCATTTTTGACAGTTTATCAACCCTCTGTAATTGAAAACCAGAAAATATTTTAAGATAATTTTTTTAGATAAGAATGATTTAGTCATATAAGTCTTACTATTTAATCCATCACATGGAGAAGAAGAGGTGGATTTGTACCTTTCATAAATATTTGCTCGTAAGTGAATATAATGAACCCAACTGGAATTGGAACTCAGCTCTCTGGTATTCCAAGCCATTATCCATTACACCACCTCCACATCCAAGCTTACAGCACCTGGTATTCCCAAACGGTCACCCATCTAGGTACTGACCTGGCTCGATGTTGCTTAACTTTGGTGACTTTACAGGAACTGGTGTTTCAGTGTGATATGGCCATAAGCCAGACATTTCTTAAATTTGTTTTAACTGGGGATGGAAAGATGCCAAATTCTGACCATGTAGCAAAATATGCTTTCCAAAAGCTAAACTAAGTACCAAAAAACAGGAAAAACTTCATTTGAAACAAATTAAAAAGTCAGGACAATCTCCTCACAGATGAAGAAGAAACTGGAGGCAACAGAAATGTGTTGCTACAGAAGGATGCTGAGAATTCTATGGAAATAGCAATTAAGCAATGGGGAAGTCTTAAAGAAAATGATAACAAAAATACATAGAATCAGAAAGAGACAGTTGAAATTTCTTGGACACATAATGCAGAAAGAAAGCTTGGAAAACTTAACACTCACAGGGCATATCAAGGGTAAGTGAGATGGGGAAAATTAACCGGTCTGATGAGCTTGTGTGAGGGAATGGCAGAACAGCAGACATTAGTTGTAGTGTTGACAACCTATTGTTTGTCAAAATTATTTCTTACTAGCAAAACCTGTGTAAATTTACTAAGTTTTTTAATGCATTGCTCTGTACTTTTTAACCCATGACTATTGTCAAGAGTTATAAGAAAAGTGACACAGCCTCTCATAAAAAAAATGAAACATGATTTAACCCCTGACTAGAAACAACTGCCTGAAAGAACTAGTGCCATTACCTTCATGTTTCACATTCTCACATAAGAAATAACTGCCTTAAAGAACTAGCGCCATTCCCTTCATGTTTCACATTCTCACATAAGAAATAACTGCCTTAAAGAACTAGCGCCATTCCCTTCATGTTTCACATTCTCATAAGTTTGCAAAGAACATTCCCTTCATGTTTCATTCTCAAGAAATAACTGCCTTAAAGAACTAGCGCCATTCCCTTCATGTTTCACATTCTCACATAAAAGAATGTCACAACAGAAGTAGGAGAGCTTTTAAATGTTCTATTTAAAAAAAACGATCTGTCAGATAAAATATTTTTGTTTTAATTTCTGAGTCAGTTTTTCTTGTTCTTAATAAATTCTTGTAGGAGAGTCATGATCGCATCTAAAAGAAGATGAAATTATTTTCTAATCATTATCTTTATTGCCGTTTGAAATAAAAATTATTTAAAAGACTTTTTATGAGAAATGTAACTAAAGAGAATTTCAAAAGAGAATCAAAGAGAAAATATTAATTTCCATTTTATATTTAGTACAACATAAGACTACAAGTGAGGAGAAAACCCAGTGAGGAGAAAACTTAAGTCAGGATGGTCTTTAAGATCTATTTGCTAAACAATGCACTATATTGAGGATGTCTTCATTCGTGTGTTAAAAATTGTGTTCTGAAGGTAATACATCATACTAGCTGCTTCCATTAATAAAATGAATATATTACAGAAAATATTCTACAGAAAAAAATGAGTTAAATGTGTGGATTCTGTAATTATTAGTTATGCAAATGTCTTTATTACATTATTATAATAAAATAAATTTTTAAAAAGTTGTATCTGCAATAAAAAGAAATATGTTGTGATTGAAAATCTAATATTCATTTTATTTCAAAGAAATTTATTGCACAAAATGTTTTAAGAATAACAAAATCAACCTTTTTTGTTTGATAATTATACAGAAATTTACACAAATTTTCAATAATTACATTTCTTTCATTTTTAAGATTGCATCTTGTAGCAGGGAGCCAATTAAAAAATGAATGAGTGAGCAAAAGGGGAGATAAATGTGAATAAATAATCAACTAAATAATCTTAAGAGGAAGAGAAACAAATGGAAAAAAGGATAAAATAAAAAGAAAGGGGGAGAAAGAGGTAGAAAGAGAGGAAATAAAAATGGAAGAGTGACAAAGAGAGTGAGAGAACTGGAAAGATTGAGAACTAGAAATAAAGAGAGAAAAAGTGAGAAACCATTATAAAAAGAACAAGAAAGAAAGAAAGAAAGAAAGAAAGGAAGAAAGAAATAGGATGCACAAAGAATGGGTAAAAAGAAAGAAAAGTCATACACAAGATAAGAAAGAAAGAAAGAAAGAAAGAAAGAAAGAAAGAAAGAAAGAAAGAAAGAAAGAAAGAAATAGGATGCACAAAGAATGGGTAAAAAGAAAGAAAAGTCATACACAAGGTAAGAAAGAAAGAAAGAAAGAAAGAAAGAAAGAAAGAAAGAAAGAAAGAAAGAAAGAAAGAGTGTGAAAGAGAGAGAAGTTAAAAAGAGAAAGAGAGGGAAAGAGAGAGAATATCAAATACAGAAAACAAGAAAGAATGAAAGAGAATGAGTGTGAAAGAGAAAGAAAGAGTGTGAAAGAGGGAAAGGAAAACTTAAAAAAAGAGAGAGAAGGAAAAAGGAATGCTGAGAAAGAGAGAGGACTTGAAAGAAAGAGAAAGAATCCAAGTGAATGAGTGTGAAAGAGAGAGAAAAAGTTATAAAAAGAGAAAGTGGGAACATATAAGAAAGAGCAAGTGAGAAAAAAACTAAGTGAAAGAGAGTAAGAGTTAGAAAGGAGGAGAAAGTGAAAGGAAGAGAGAGAAGGAGTTTGGAAAAGACGGAATGAGAAAGAAAGAGAGAATGGCAGAACAAGTAAGGGAGAGAGAAAGAAGTCTAGAAAGTGAGAGAAAGAAAGAAAAAGAGGAAAAAGTGAAAGGAAGATAGAAAAGTAGTGTAAAAGATGAAGAGTGAGAAAGAGAGAAAAAGAAGAGTGAGAAAGGGATGAAGATTGTGAATAGTTTAGAAAAAGTGAGAAAGAGAGAGAAGTTGTCAGTGAGAAAGAAAAAGATAGAAATCATTAAAAAGAAAATTGATAAAAAGCCAGAAAGAGAGAGACAGTGGATAAGAGAGAGAAAAAGAAAAAGAGGGAAAGATCAATAAAGAAAAATAGTGAGAGAGATAAAATGAAGAAAGAGACGAAGGAAGAGAAACAAGGTGGGTTTGATGGTTGCATAGTGTAACAAAATCTGTCAGAATATTAAGAATCTGGAGTAAATCACTTTTAATAGAAAAAACAAATAATGAAGAATTGAAATAGGATTAATAGTCTGAATAATGATGGAGGCATAAAAGAAAGCCTGATGGACAAAGGGAGAAATAAAAAAGAAAATTTGGAATCAAAAATAAGATATAATAAGATAAGAAAGAAAGAGTGGGGGGAGAGAAACGAAGGGATAACATACCACAGAGAGAAGAAGATTTATCTAATACAGTGGATCTCAACCTTTTTTTACCCATGGACCCCTTTCCCCTTCTTTTTATCTTGGTGGACCCCTTCATAGCTATTGGACATAAGAACAATTTTCTATTCTTCACTAATATAAATTTTAAGGTTTTAATTATCAAAGAAATAGTATACGATTAAGCTTTATTTTTAAATGAAAACTAATTTAATACAAATAAAATATTCTACTATAATTATAATAATAATTATTATTACTATTTTTAATTAACACAACAATTGAGTTTTGCCTGTGGACCCCCAGAAATATTAGACCCCGGTTGAGAACCACTGATCTAATACAAGGCTCAAGAGCCACTCAAAGGAGAGGGTTAATAAATGAGGTTGAGTGACACCTTTGCACCTTTTCTCTTTGTTATCGCCCTTGACTACATTATCTGTCTATATTTCTGAGATGAGACATTATGTACACTATTTACATTATTCAGACTATTGTCCTCATCTTTGTCACCATATTTATTACAACATTTCAGCCGTTGTATGCTCCAGCCTTCTTCAAGTGGTTGGAATGTTGAAATGAACCCTTTATTTCACTCACTGGGGTAGATTGTACTAGTTCCATGTGCCATGTTTAATGGGTGTCAGTTTAATTCCCTCTCCAAGTTCTCCACCGCCTTAACCAGGTATTGAACTCACATTCTTTGGGTCCTGTTACTGGATCTAACTAATGCCTTTATCCACTGTGCCATGTGTCCTTAAGGACATCTGTGTATGAATTTCTGGGTATTGAGAACTTTAGTGTTATCTATGTTTTATCACCAAAACTCTCAAGTTAATATCCTACAAGAAATTTGACAGAAATTGAGTATGCAAATGACATATCTATCACTGCAAAAAGCCATTACCAATGCCACAGTATTCCTACATCATCTAGAAAATGCTGCCAATGATGTTGGAATCTGTCAATTCATTTAAAATTGAATTCATAAGCTTCAACCAACAATTAACAGAAACTGAGTATGCAAATGACATATCTATCACTGCAAAAGCCATTACGAATGCCACAGTATTCCTACATCATCTAGAAAATGCTGCCAATGATGTTGGACTCTGTCAATTCATTTAAAATTGAATTCATAAGCTTCAACCAACAATGCTCAATACAAACTGTCTCAGATGAATCAATAAAGTCTGTTACATACTTTACATATGTAAGAAGCAGGCAAAATTCTACTGAAAAGAATGTAAAAATACGCATAGCTCAAGCTTGGGCTAGCTTAAATAAAAGATATGTAAGCTGGAAATTTGATCTACCAGACAACCTCAAGCAGTGATACTTTTGAGCTACTGTAGGGGCAGTATTAATGTATGGTGCCACTGCTTGGACATTAACTAAAACCCTACAGTCTAAGCTTGATGGAACCTACACTCATTTTATGGAGCCTACACCCATCACTGATATTTCTACAATCTTATGTGAATGCAGAATGCAAGCAAAGCATGAACTCGCAACTGATGTTCTGGAAATCTAGTCATGGTGCAAAACAGTCTGGTCTCCCAGCAACCATCTATATTGATCATCTATGTTATGACACAGAATGTCTCCCTAATGACCTTCCGGTCTTGATTCAGGACCGTGACGGTTGGCATGACAGACTCGACCGAATAAAAAGGAAATAAAAATCAGATTGTTGCCAAGGATTCAAAGCAGCAGAAGTATCATGTGGGCAGCTCAGACACTAGGTTGAGAGTTAAAAAGTATCCATTAGGAAAAAGGTGGTAATAAAAGCCAAATAATTGTGTTATAAGATCGCAATAACTGCAAGAGAAATAGGAAAAAATGAAAGATAAAAAACATAAGAGAGAGAG